AGTTTCAACAAGAACATTTTATGCATACAGACATATCCCCCTCCCGACCTCTTCTCTTTCTTCTCTCTTCTTTCTCTTCTCTCTCTCTCTCTCTCTCATCTTCTCTCTCTCTCTCTCTCTCTCTCTCTCTCTCTCTCTCTCTCTCTCTCTCTCTCTCTCTCTCTCTCTCTCTCTCTTCTCCTCTCTCCTCTCTCTCTCTCTCTCTCTCTCATTCCATCTTAAACCTTCTTGCAAATTGCGATGGCTCTCTTGTGACCTGCACTCAGCAGTCTGTCATTACGCCCCACATATACTGCAGAATATACGACGCATACGAAACACGGCGTCGGCACCCGGTCCTTCTTCCACTGGCTGGTCCCAGAGACTACAGTCGTGTTTCCTAGTTATGCCTATCAAGCCTGACACCCCCGAGCATAAGTTTGACCCTTATGTTAACAACACAGAGAGGCGACATTCCCGAGCGCAGATTCCGAGTTGATATCGAAACTTTGCCTCGAACTGACTTGCTGAATGTGGTCGATGGAACGTGGGTCGAGAGAGACGAAAGTAAGGACGGTCTTCTGTGAGTGATAGATGCCTGTGTTATCAGTGGTGTATCATACAGCCACCCGAGATAGGCATGTATTTTTTTTCCTCCCAAGTGCGAAGCAACGTTCGTAATCTGATAAAGTTGGGAAGAAAATAAGGAAGTAGTAGGAGGACGTGTTATAACGTGCTTTTTTCTTTATCATTATCATTTATTTATTTATTCATCTTTTAAATTATTATTATTTTTTGTGGGGGAATGATTCTGTTAGATAAATCTCGACTGAACAAAACTATATGTGCTCTAAATAAGCGATGCCGATAGCCTCGATTGCATATTTAGACCTTACTTTTACACTAATATCAACTCCTAATTCAAGACGCGAATAACGCCGAACAAAGAAAGCAGAGTGGCCAATGATAACGTTACCTCGTACCTTGCATTAGATGGGAGGGAAATAATGCGACGTCCATTAGAGCGCCGTGGCCATGTCCCGCAAGATCTGGGGTTCATACTGGAAACAAGGTTAAATGCATTACGCCCAGATACACACACACACACACACACACACACACACACACACACACACACACACACACACACACACACACACACACACAACACAACACACAACCAAACAAGAACATAACTTTCTCCGTAAAGACCTAAATACCCACACCCTTCCATCCCATAACTTATTTTTCCCTGTTCCTCTCTCTGTCTTTTTTTTTCTTCCTTTCTTTCTTTCTTTTTTTTTCTTCTTTTTTAATATAGTTCAATTAAGAAACATCAGAGGGACACCTTCGGCCCGAAGCCCGGAGGCAAACATTTACCTGCGCCATCGCCTACGCTGTCCGAGGTAAAACGATATGGCCGCTTTGAAAACACATTGTTGGCGAGAGCGACGGCGAGGGTGGAAGGGACAGCGGATAAATAGCTGGGGAGGCGGACGGGAATAGAGATAGGAAGATGGACAGAATGAACGAGGAGATAATGAAGCTTGATGGATAGTCTGCGAGAAGGGTGGGAGCTATCTATTCACGATAGATAGTGAAAAAGAACGAGTGTAGACACTTCATCTGATAGACAGTCTTCGAGAAGGGCGAGAACTATTCATTCCAAATAGAATGAGAAAAGAATGAGTAGATAGTTAAGCTGACAGACAGTTTACCAAAAGAGTGATAGCTTAGCAGATAGACAAGAAGACTGATAGATAGACAGCCATACAGTCTGCAGGAGCATGAAAGCCAGGTAGACATACAAGGACAAAGACAGCGAAGGTTGAATAGAAAATCAAGCGAAAAAGATGTAGACAGAAAAGCAAGAATTTATTACAGACAGACACACATATCCGTATCATGCAATAAAGTTAAGGAAAATGCTCCATACGGCCTTCATGCGGGTGAGACTCAATGCAAGAGGAAAAGAGAAAGTCTAAGAGAAGAGTAAACGAAAATTTCAATGGGTCTTTTGTCCTTGATTATATTTACGTTGCTCACATTCATGCGTCATCCCCGTGAAACGTTGAGAATCCTCATGCCTGTATAAATCTTCTCAGATATTCTTGCAACTGGAAATGCGAACTCAACTAACAATACATATCCATAACGTAGAGAAGGTTATTTTATTTCGTTTCGCTAAAAGGAGGCAAAATATAATTAGTTTATTTAATAAGTCAGATTACCATTATCATTACAATTTCCCCAGCTCCTATTAGAAATATTTCAATTTAGTGTACACACAGAAATTCCGCATTCTCTCCACATACAAAGTACATGTATCCACAATAATTCATCATTTGCTTATAACTTTACGTGTATATAGTCCGTAACAAGCACAGTCACCTTCCCTTCAAGACCCGTTTATATAACATGACACATTACCGCTTCCTCTATAAGGGCAAGGTCGCTATGATGATTAATGGAGTACACTTTGCTAATGAATAACAATTAAACCAATTAGGTCCGGTTATATCGCTCTATACTTCATTAACGAAGGTACGTAGAACAGACATCATCAAAACATTGTCCTCTTGAACGACGGAAGAAAATCGATAGGGAATGGTGTGCGGTGTATTTGGTCTATGCTATTCGGGGGCATTAAGGTGCGGCGGGCTGAGTAGGCCTTGGGTCCTCTCTGTTTCTTTCTCACCTATCTTTTCTCGCCGTTTCTCTCTTTTTCTTCTTTCTTTCTTTCTCTCTCTCTCTCTCTCTCGTGTCTTCTTCCTTTTTCTTTTCTCTCTTTTTTTCCATTGCTTCTTCTTCTTCTCTCTTTCTCTCTATCTATCTATCTATCTTTCTCACTCTCTCTCTATCTATCTATCTATCTCTCACTCTCTCTGAAAAAATATCCATGTATCTATCTGTCTACTCATTGGCCAATCCCCTATTCTTCCATCCAGCCACCTAACTGTCCAAACCTTTCGCCATCTAATAAGAAAACATCAACACAAACTAATAAAAAAAGGAAGACCAGCATACGCCATTTCCTCCATAGGATTCCCAAGCCTATCTAAGAAATCAGGGCAAGAGATTGACGAGGTACCTTATCAAGATCAAATCAGGGCTCATCACGAGGAACCCCAGAATCTTGGAATGGGAGTGGGAGGGGAGATAGGAGGGGGGATTAGGAGGGAAGGAGTGAGGCTGAGGGGAGAGGGGAGAGGGGGATTAGAAGGGAAGGAGGAGAGGGAAAAGGGGAATGAGAAGGAGTGAGGGTGAGAGGAGAGGGGAGAGGGGATTAGAGGGAAGGGAGAGGGAAAAGAGGGGTGAGGTAGGGAGGAGAGGAGGAGAGGGAGGGTTGATGAGGCCTTCGGAAATACGGTTTCCCTTCCTTTTTGGTGAGGGTGTGGATTGAGTTAGGAACAGTAAAAACACTGAAGCCATGAGGGTCGTTTGTAGTCACAGCTTTACTTATTCATTCCATCGGTTTGGAAGAAACTCACCAAGGGTAGACGCAGAGAAAACATGGGAGATGAAGGGGGACAGGCATTGTGAGGAAAGGTAGAGACAAAAAGGGAGGAGGGGAGAGATTGAAGTAGAACTAGAAAGGTAATTAATCGCATTATTTCGGATAATCGCATCAGGTGTCTTTACTTCAAATTATATTGCTAGGATAGAGTCGAAGATGGTGATAGGATAAGTTCATATTGCTGAAACTAACCTCTAGCTTAATATCTTATAAGGGTAATCGCCAGACCATCTCTCTCTCTCTCTCTCTCTCTCTCTCTCTCTCTCTCTCTCTCTCTCTCTCTCTCTTTCTTTTTTCTCTCTCTCTCTCTCCCTCTCTTTTTCTCTCTCTTTCTCCCCCTCCCTTCTCCATCCCCCTCTCCCTTTCCTTCTCCTTCTCCTTTCCCTCCCCCTTTCCCTCTCCTTCTCCTTCTCCCTCTCCCTCTTTCTCTCTCCTTCTCCCACTCTCTACAAACATATACGAAAAAGACATCATCTGTCGCGCCCAAAGTTTCTCTCTCTCCCTCTCTCTCTCTCTTTCTGTCCTTTCTTCATCCATTTCGTTGTCCCAGTACGTGCTGTCTTGCCAGGATTCCCCGCAAGGTTGAGGAAAGATACAGAAAAGGGTTTCCGATTGAGGCATTTTCTGTGAAGCATCCCTATTGAGAATCTCCTCTCTCTGCCTTTCTGTCTCCTTCCCCCCCCTTCGTTCTCTCTCTATCTCTCTCCTATCTATCTATCTGTATCTCTCTATCTCTCTTCCTCTTTATCGCCTCTTTCTCTTTCTCTCTCATCTCATCTCATCTCTTGTCTTATCTTGTCTCCTCCCCCTCCTCCTCTCTCCCTCTCTCTCTCTCTCTCTCTCTCTCTCTCTCTCTCTCTCTCTCTCTCTCTCTCTCTCTCTCTCTCTCTCTCTCTCTCTCTCTCTCTCTTTCCAATTCCAATTATGCCGTCTTCTTATCTTTTAAACATTGTAATCAATCATATCACGGTATTTTCACTAACAAACCTAAAGATAAATTTCTTTCTTAGTAAGACTCCAGCTATATATACACAAAGCCGCCCAAGCACCCATGCCTACACAAGGACTCAAAACCGCCCACATATTCATATAACTCCCGGAGTCCTTTTTGGAACGACTCATGCATGCATCACCGAGCGCTTTCCCCGGCCGGCAGATCAGCTGAATGAACGTGGGAAAAAAGTTCATGGAAAAGGGTTAAACATAAATGAGAAGAGAGATATATCAAGCACGATCACGCTGATTGCGAGATGTCGCGAGAAACGACGAGGCTGTCTGGAATCAAATGAAGCGAAGGGAATGAGGATTTTTTTTTTTTTTCTTTTTTCTTTTTTTTTCAAGGCGTCTGGAAGGGGAATTGTGAGGCGGAAGGGGAGACAGCTCGACAGCGGACGTGTTTTAAGTATCAAGGATGTGAGATGGGCGTGGCTTCATAAGTAGGCGGGGTGAGAGAGGGGGAAGAGCGAGTGACGGGGACGTAAATCTTACAGATGCCAACACTCGGATGGGAGTCACGTTCGGCAAGGAAAAACATGCTGTCTCCGGTTACTCGCACTTCAGTTACGTCACTTGGCGAACATGGAAGCAATACATGGAGATGAAACTGCACCATGCTTATATTTCCTCCTTTTTTTCTCCTTTCTCTGTGTCTCTGTGCCTATCTGTATTTTTCCCAATCCCCTTCTGTTATCCCTTCCTCCATATTCTTATATGCACATATATTTTTGCATATATTTTGCTCGCTTTTCTTTTTTACCCTCTCTCTCTCTCTCTCTCTCTCTCTCTCTCTCTCTCTCTCTCTCTCTCTCTCTCTCTCTCTCTCTCTCTCTCATGCATATACCGTTTCCCTTTTTGGCGAGCTGTCATTATTAATGTTATATAACCCGCAAAAATGCCCCACAGAATATATTTCTTTAATTAAGTTTAATTAAAGGGCTTTAAGCATTTATAGACACTTTATGACAATTATACATTAAAAAAAAAAGAATTGGAGACTAAAAGCTAGTCTATTTTTTTTATATCCCTTCATGGCAATATTCGAAATGCTTTTTACAGAAAACAAACAAACCCAAAAGCGTTTTAAAACAACAAATCCTGAGGGATACTCTTTTCATCTTTTCTTTTTTTTTTTTTTTTTTTTTTTTTTTGAGGCGGATACATATTTTATCCATACTTGCGTTTACCTGGGAGTATCCCATAGGCATCTTTCCTGAAAATGGAAAAACCCCAAAAAATCATCATCTCTTTATCATCAATCTACATCTATTCTCTCTCCTTCTCTTTCTTTCTTTCTCTTTCTTTCTTCTCTCTTCTCTCTCTCTCTCTCTCTCTCTTTCTATTCCTCTTCTCCTCTCTCCCTTCTCCCCTCCTCCCTCCCTCTCTCCTCTCTCCTTTTCTCCCTCCCTCCCTCTCACCCTCCATCTCTCCCTCTCTATCTATCATTCAGTAAGAAGAAGACAGAAAGAAGTAAAGAAAAGGAATCGTCGACAGGCAGCCACGAGGCAAAATGGCAGCTTATGTATCTCAGAACAAGCGCTAAGTTCGTTAGGGAAGAAGACATCTTGTTACGGCACTCGCGTTAATGGTGTGGGAGAGATCGTGGTGTGTGTGTGTGTGTGTGTTGTGTGTGTGTGTGTGTGTGTGTGTGTGTGTGTGTGTGTGTGTGTGTGTGTGTGTGTGTGTGTGTGTGTGTGTGTGTGTGTTGAGTGTGCTTGGTTGAGAGTGTTCGTGGAGGTGTACAAAGGTGTGTGTGTGATGTGTGTGTGCGTGTATGTTAAGGGGTTTCAGGTTCGTGGACGTATTAGGGTGTGTGTATGTGATGTGTGTACGTACGTGTTTGGGGGATCCTTCATGTATGTGTGTGGGTGTGTGTTCATGCGCTCATAAATGTATGCACCAACCCATCTCTTTCCAAGTCTAGTTTTCTCGTCGAAACATAAACACAAACACGTTCCTGGACTCGAATTTTATCCCTTTGTCTTCCTCCCTTTTTTTCTTTCTTTTTCGACACGGTTCATCGTCTTGTTTTCCCCCTCGGCCGCCATGCTAGGCCTCGCTCACAGCCTGTAAAGAAAGAGTGCATTCGCCAAATATTTTTACAGGCTATGTTCGGATTCATTTCCCTTTGCTGGTGTGTCGTTTTCTGATGCTTTTTCTTTCTCCTTTTATTCTCTTTTTTATTTATCTTTATCTGTTTGTATTTTCTTTTCATCTCTGTATTTCTTTCTTTTTCTCTCTCTTTCTCTTTCTCTTTATCTGTTTGTCTAATTCTTTTCATCTCTCTGTCTTTCTTCCTTTCTTTCATTCTCTCTATCTCTCTCTCTCTCTCTCTCTCTCTCTCTCTCTCTCTCTTTCTCTCTCTCTCTCTCTCTCTCTCTCCTATTCATTTTCCTTATGCAAATACAGACTGCTAAAATATCCTCACCTAGCTCCATCACGCACGCAAAAATAATTCCCAAAACAACAAAACTCAACACAAAGACAAACAAGAGGAAGGGGAGGAGGGAGAGAGAGAGAGGGAGAAAAAAGTTTGAATTTAAGCTTTGTAAAAGTTAGGTGGTAAAACGCCCGCCCTGCCCAGCGTGGAGGCGTAGTTCGAACTCCCAGACGTTCAGTACAGCACTTCGGAGTTTGACCGTTTATGACTCCAAGTTGTTAAAAGGTTGGACTCGATAGATGAGCATGACCTTGTAGATTATTTTCCTTTCTTATCTCTGTAGGTATTTTTACTTTTTTAATTTCGGATGACCTTATTTTTATGACCTTAATGTCGTACGAAATGACCTTAATGGCGTAGGAAATTATGACCTTCATGTCGTAGGAAAAATAACAACAGGATTTCACATCGTATTTCTTGACAATAATTTATCCTGATACAAAAAATGAAATATACCTTTAGAGCCGAAGAATACATTCCGTCATCGGCTTATAGTGTGGATTCTTAAGACATTTGTTTTTTTCTAAACCGTTTTTCTTTCTCTCCACAGACCACCCCCGAGAGGACCACTCCTCCACAACAAGAAAACACCTCCGCAGGTAAGCAGACGAGGCTTAAATGTCGAGAGATAAATGGATATCAGAAGCCGATATGCTTCTCGGTGAAAGGGAAATAGGAAATTTATGTTTCCTTTATGGCAGCAATGATAAACAACAGCAACAATAACAATGATGAAAATAATAATGATAATACTAAGAATGATCCTAATCATCAATACTATAACTGCTATTACTATTATCATTAATATAATTAAAACATCGCGACTGCCAAAGCTAAAACCATTCATCACAGAAAAGCCTCCTCGAAATAAAGATTCGTTCAGTCCCCAAAGAGGATAGTGTTTTCTCACCTAAAATGTCCAGCGCATAGGAAATGGCAGCGCATAGGGAATTGATTTGAGTGAATTCCTCCATCCGTCCATTTGCTGGTCCGGATCCGAGGAGGTAGACAACGTAAAGAGCGTCTTTGTAAGGGAAACGTAAAAGGCAGAGGTTCCTGCAGGAGAGAGAGGAAGTGGAAACTGGAAAAAGAGGCTTGGAATGAAGCACGCACTCTGCATAATAGTTCTTGGCGAAAGATATGGAGGGAGAAGAAACACAAAGGCATTTTAGAAGCATGGAAGTGAAACATCCGAAACCAATTGCATCAACTCACAGCCAAATATGACCAAAAGGAGACTTTTACTACCCATCTATATATTTATATTCAAGTCCTCTTCCCTTGAGACATCTCCATCCGTCTCTCATCTCTGTCATTTCCATGCAGCCTCAGGTGTTATACAAAGTCTGTAGCCAAAATGTCTCGGTGGATTTTGGGGGATTTTACATATGCTAATTCTGAAGACGAGCTTTTCCTCCATGGCTCCCGTTTTCTGTAAAGATTGTCATACCTGCTGTGTCGAGTTTACAAGGATGTGGTAAAGCTAAAGTTCTTCTGTTGCTGCTGTTTATAAAAGCTGTGTTCTAAAGGAATGTTTTTCCATGTGGATTTTTGCGTGATGTTTCTTTAAATGCTTATCAACAAAATGTAAATAATTCACATCCTAAGCATTACTCAAATGTAAATGTTCCACAAAACATCACACGAAGAATCAGTTTCTCATATTCCTTCTGCACCGCCTTTTCTCCATTTATTACATTTGGATGCTTGTAATTCCTCCAGGATTTACTATCTTTCTTTCTTTCTTTCTTACTTCCTTTCTTTTTTTGTTGTAATGTTTCCAGTCAAGTCGTTGCTCTTGAAAACCGAGAACTTTAGTCATCTCCATTTTCTTCCAAACACATTTTCCTTCTCAGTGGGAAAACGGACCAAAGGGACCACTTAGCGACAAAGACAACTTAGTTTAAACGTGGAAAGACAAACGCCATCATCCAAGAGACACAGAATTGTCAATGGCAACTCCCCAAGCACTAGCGATCTCACGCAAGGGACCCAGCTGCCTTGAATACCAAATCAAGAATTCCAAATGCTATCAGTCACATGATATTCCTTGCGCTCTTATTCGCTCACGAAAGTTAGCTTGGACTCTCCGCACTCGTAAAAATTCAATTCGTTATTTTTTACGAATTTACTGTTAGAAAAGGGACACACGCATCAACATACGCATGTGTAATACATCATGGGTGCGATTCACAACATACCACAATTATGCAGACGTTTCCTCTTAGACAGGCGAGAGATAAGCTAGCGGGGCTCTTAGTCTACTAGGCAACACGAGCCCATTGTCGGATGCCGGAGTAAATACATGCAAAGAGAGACACCGAATCATTTGCAGAAACAGAAAGTGAGGATCAATTTCTAAACTAATTTTCCGCACAATTACAATTGACATTCCCTCGGCATTCAAGAAATGAATTATGATGCTTGAGAGAGGGAAATCATAATAGATAAAATTTTATCAGCTGTTTTTTTATGGATTCTTTGTTCGTCGAAGAAAATATTTCACGTTTATAGAGTATATGATAATAGCATCACACGTCTCACTGTTGCAATGCACTTCAGTATGTTCGAGTTCTCATGCGCTGAGGATGATAAATACTTCAGTCAAAACAATGTCGCATTCATATTTACGGCTCACTTATATACCTAGTTTCTCTCTTCAGTTATCTATAAAATTCAATCATCTGTGTATCTGTCTTTATCTATATCCCCATCTTCATCTCTCTATTTATGTCTACCAGCTAAAAATAAGTCACTTTGTTTCCTTTCAACGGCCTACATTGTATAAACCGAATTAGCCATTCAACACCCTTGGCCAGTTCCCGTATATAGAGAAAATGTGTTGTTTTTGAGGGGAGACTAATCCAATGCCCGGAACCAGCCCTGGCGGTTGCTTTCTAAAAGCTTTTATGAACTATGCTATCTTTTCTTTCGTAGGTTTGGTAGTGGTTTCGGTTCATATTTAACTAAAATTAACTAAAATTCTCTTTTCTAATACAACTTTCTCCCACCAGCAGATGCACCTCCAGCAAAGCGATTCGACGCATTCACGTAAGTTTCTCTTAACAAAAGTAATGCGGGAGAATATATCATGGATAGTGACTGCTTGATTAATTGGGCTATCACATGCACAAGGAGGGCTTGTAAGTGTGCAGAATCAAAGACATGTTAGGATCTTTTTGCCCAGGTAGTTTAAAAACTCCCTACATTTACTGTTACAGCGAGACACCTGTAGCTCCCCTTTTTCCTGCTCAACAAGTAGGAAAAGCAAGCTATTCGGGAGTTCTCTTTTAGGCTTAAAGTTTACATCTATCTGCTGCCTTTCCCTTCTCTCCCGCCTTCCCAAAGGAAACACATTTCCTTCCTTTATATCCGTTATGCAGCCCCTGAATCACTTTCCCCTTTTACTAACCACGCCTAGTACTAATTCATGCGCACGCTGTCTGTCTCGTCGGCTCTCCCATCCTTCTCACCACCTATCCCCCCCCACTCCATTCCCTCACCTACAACGCCCAGGAAACCGGACGTCCCCTCTGCTCCCCTCTGTCCCTCTCCCCATCCGACCCTAACCCTTTCCTCTCACAGATCCGGCAGATGTCAGCTGGAAACTCCATTTTCTTGTCTCAGGGAGATACCTCAGTCTAGTCAGCCAGGCAAACAGGTAATAGGGAGAGAAAGGGGGAAGAGTGGAGAGGAAGACGAGAAGAGGGGGAGGGGACAGCAAGGTACAAGGGGACGGGAGTTGGATGACGCGAGTGCCTCATTGAGGGGATATTGCCTCCAGGATGACATGTTTTTGTGACAGGTCGCCCATTTTGCGGCGAGGAGACATCTATATCTGTCACTGGTCTCGATAACAAGAGGCCGATGTTGTCTCGTTGTGCCTCGCCCGCTGGACGGAAGGGGTATAGGGTGCTTATAAAATATAATGTTACCAGGGGAATATGTTATCAGTGGTCATGAGTAAAGGAATATAATTTGAACTCCTGCTAGACGAGTTGTAGCACACTACTGCTTTTCTGTGAGTGAATAGTAATACGTATCCTTGGTCTGTTCAACCAGGAAGACTTGATTAATCGATTCATCTGTGTATTGATAGCTTTTAGGAACAAAAACGATTGAAGAAAAGACATATGATACAAAAATCTATATATTTTCAAAGAAATCTTCCCTAGTTTCCCGTAAGTTTAAGAATTCAAATATTTGTTGTGACATTTTAGTGTATCCTGTACCTAATTTCTATTCTCATCCAATTCACAGCACTGGTTTCGGACACAGCAAACGCAACATGAATGAAATTGACAGACCTGCCTTGGGATTCAGCAAGAAGAACTTTGATGAGATCGACCGCGCCGGCATGGGATTCGCTAAGCGCAACTTTGATGAAATTGACCGCGCTGGAATGGGCTTCGCCAAGCGTAACTTTGATGAAATTGACCGCGCTGGAATGGGCTTCGCCAAGCGCAACTTTGATGAAATCGACCGAGCTGGAATGGGCTTCGCTAAGCGCAACTTTGATGAAATCGACCGCGCTGGAATGGGCTTCGCCAAGCGCAACTTTGATGAAATCGACCGAGCTGGAATGGGCTTCGCCAAGCGCAACTTTGATGAAATCGACCGAGCTGGAATGGGCTTCGCCAAGCGCAACTTTGATGAAATTGACCGCGCTGGAATGGGCTTCGCTAAGCGCAACTTTGACGAAATTGACCGAGCTGGAATGGGCTTCGCCAAGCGCAACTTTGACGAAATTGACCGCGCTGGAATGGGCTTCGCCAAGCGCAACTTTGATGAAATTGACCGCGCTGGAATGGGCTTCGCTAAGCGCAACTTTGATGAAATTGACCGCGCTGGAATGGGCTTCGCTAAGCGCAACTTTGACGAAATTGACCGCGCTGGATGGGCTTCGCTAAGCGCAACTTTGACGAAATTGACGCGCTGGAATGGGCTTCGCCAAGCGCAACTTTGATGAAATTGACCGCGCTGGAATGGGCTTCGCCAAGCGCAACTTTGACGAAATTGACCGCGCTGGAATGGGCTTCGCTAAGCGCAACTTTGATGAAATTGACCGCGCTGGAATGGGCTTCGCTAAGCGCAACTTTGACGAAATTGACCGCGCTGGAATGGGCTTCGCTAAGCGCAACTTCGACGAAATTGACCGTGCCGGCATGGGCTTCGCCAAGCGCAACTTTGATGAGATCGACCGCGCTGGCATGGGCTTCGCCAAGCGCAATTTCGACGAAATCGACCGAGCAGGTTTCGGCTTCCTCAAGAGAGCCTTCATGCCAAGGAGCAACCTCTTCAAGCGTAACTTCGATGAAATTGACCGAGCTGGGTTTGGCTTCAACCGACGTAGCTCGAACTAAACCATACATCCTCAGTGAAAATCATCCGTGTATGGCCAGTATGAACATTTGAGAGTTTTTATTGATTCGCTTCTCACTCTCTCCAGTGAGACAAGAGTTGCACTTCATCATGTTTCGTGGGTAGTCAACAGGCAATATAACATTACATAAAACTAATAAAAAAAATCTTCTCGTTTGTCCCCCTTCCTCTCACTGTGAGAGAGGTTCTTGCAACGATGTCTTTGGTATCCTCAAGAGAGGAAAAGCGACCTCTGAGATCCTTCTCCAGCTGACGTTGCTCTTGGATGGCTGGGAATGTCAAAGAAGGAATAAAGAGTATTTTTCTTAAATAGCCTTTTCTTTCCATCTGCTTCATATGTCTGCATTTGTTAGAATGATTCATTCTTCTGTTGCACTGCAATGAGAAGCAATCATGTATGTATGAGAATTCTTAGACACCAGAAGAGTTGGATGTTGCATAAAAGGAAAAGAAGAGACACATATATATCAGTAAACAGCTTTATCTTTCTTAGATATCAAGCAGTCGAGTCTCAAGGCGGAAATGGTACTTGCAAATGTCTAAGAATTCTTAAGCTGGGGATCTTGGAGGTTTTGAGAATTTAGTGTCAAAATCGTTCCTTCGATCTATGCCCTAACGATGTATAAGCAGATTCGCGTTGCAATTGTCTTAAGAATCAAAACAATAAAGTTATCGAAGTTGATGAGAAAAATGTTTAATTATATAATCATAATGCTAATGAAACAAAAGCAGGAGAGATTTTTACTGACTTTTGCAATAAGCATTTCAAAGATCAACAACACAATGAAGTGACCTCAACTTTTGCAAAGGAGTTTGTTAAGGGTTTAATAAGTCTATAAGTCATGAAAAGACAAGCAAACTTTGAATAAGAATCTCAGTCCTTGCACCAACTTAACATAAGTATACGAGTATGTGCCAGCTCGCGTACATGAAAGCAAACTCATCAACTTTTCCCCAGATATTTGTATATGCTCAGGTATACATACAGGTATTCGTGTAGCGGAAACACACATTTCTTCCAGGTTCCACGATACTTAGATTAGCATAGAGACAATCCAGATCCGCCGAGGTGATTACCATAATGGTGCGACCGAACCAAAACACGACAGAGAACTCAGAAGGACTTTGGTGAAAATAGAATGCATCTCAGACTCTTGCCTGATTGGTCACTGAGACCGAGGGCGTAATAGAGGATTCAGAATGCTATTTGGAGATTCTAAGAAACGACGAGAGTAATAGGATTCAAATAAGGGATTAGGATGTGGACATGCGAATGTGTGTATTTGTTTTGTACGTGAGCTTGTATTTGTACTTGAAGCTGTGTGTACTAGTGTGCATTTTCGTGTGTGTATTTAAGCTTAAAAGTATATCACCGTTTCTTACACTTCCCTTTCTATGATAATATCTCTCCCCTCTCCTCTTCTCTCCTCCCTCTCCTTTCTCTCCTCCTCCCCTCTCTCTCTTTATAGTCTCTCTCTCTCCTTCTCTACCTCTCCTCTCTCCCTACTTCCCTATATCTCTCTCTCTCTTATCCTCTCTTTAACTTTCTCCCTCCCTCCCTCTTTCTTTTTTTCTCTCTCTCCCTCTCTTTCTTTTTTTTTTCTCTCCTTTTCACCCCCCCTTTCACTTTCGCCCTCTCCCCCATCTCTTTTCCTCTCCTACTCCCCCTCTATTTCTTTCCCTCTCCATTTCCCCCCTCTCTTCTCTCTCTCTCTCTCTCTCCTCCGCCTCCCCTCCCTCCCTCCCTCCCCCCTCTACTCCCCTCTCTCTCCCTCCCTCCCTACCCTCTCCCTCCTCCTCCCCCCCTCTCCCTCCCCTCCTCCCCCTCTACCCTCTCCTCCCTCCCCCCTCTACCCTCTCCTCCCTCCCCCTCTCCTCTCCCCCCTCTCTATCCTCCTCACCCTCTCTCTCTCCCTCCTCACCCTCTCTCTCTCTCCCTCCTCTCCTCTCCTCCCTCACCTCTCTCTCTCCCCTCTTCTTCTCCCCTCTCTCTCTCCCTCTTCTCCCTGCCTCTCTCTCCTTCTCAATCCCTCTTCCCCTCTCCCTCTCTCTCTTCTCTCCTCTCTCTCTCTCTCATGCACACGCACACATCGCAATCCCTCAAAAAAAAGTGTCCCTTCTTCGTTTTTCTATTACCTTAATTCCCTTACCCCTTAGCTAATGCGCCACTTCCCCCTTAATGACCCATATATACGTCACTCTCCGCCTTGTATAATCAATGACTTCCCTCGACCCCTTCTAATTCTTCAATATAGACCGACGTGAATTATATCCCCTTGCAACACTCAATCATAGATGCTTAATCGTGATGGGAGAACAATACCATAGAAAAAATCATGGATTTTTTCTACTTTTTCTCTTAGTTAAATATGAAGGGTGATAAAAATCGGGATAAATAAGCTTTCTCCTTTTTTTTACTGCGTCCTCAGGGGAAATGAGATAAGGAGGAGGAAATAGACTCTAGCCGAAGTGAGAAACTGGTCACCCACAGAGACAGGGGCGGCGAGGGTAAGAAAGATGAAATCACGAAGGACAGAAACCAAAGAAAATAATGAAAGGTGTAAAAGGACTAGGTAGACTTAGTACCTTTCGACTATTTTTTTACTTGTCATGGGAACATTAAATACCATAGTTCCAGTTTAAATGCCATTGGACTGAGGACTCTCCGGCACTTCAGCTGAATAAATATAAAGAAGGAACTGTGTGTGCGTAGGTAGATGTGTGCGTTTTCACACATACAGAAAAAATATCGTAGCAATTGCAGCTGATTTTGCACAACCAGTACTTGTAGAGAGCAAAATTGAAAAGGAAATACTAGATCTAAAAGACAGTAACTGACTTCCATTACAAAATCAAAGTCAGATGTCACTTATTATATAACAGCTTTTACCACATCAATTATATAAACATGAATATTCAGCACAAGGCCGCACACCAATCAAATTCCCCAACATATCATGAATGTAAAACCATAAACTATTAAATTTCCTATAAATGTTGCAATCTAAATCCATCAAAAATAATCTGCATTGTAATAACTTATCTTGATTTTTTGACACACCCCTTATCCCTGCATGTGATGGAAACGTAGATGAAGTTCATGGGAATGCGGAGTAATTTTCATCCAGATTTCATCATCTCTCTCTCTCTCTTTCACACACACGCACGCACACACACACACACACACACACACACACCACACACACACACACACACACACACACACACACACACACACACATATATATATATACACCATAATATATGTTGTGTGTGTGTGTGTGTGTGTGTGTGTGTGTGTGTGTGTGTGTGTGTGTGTGTGTGTGTGTGTGTGTGTGTGTGTGTGTGTGTGTGTGTGTGTGTGTGTGTGTGGAGAGAGAGAGAGAGAGAATGTGTGTATACATATATGTACATACACACAGACACACATCTGTGTGGGGGGAGGTGTATGGGACAGGGCTTTTTTTCCCTAATGAAATCAATATTTATAATGCATTTTTGTAAAGGTCATATTAGTGATTTTTCATATACCAATTTATTCAAATGTAGGCCTATCCTTACTGTGTTTACCGTTAAATTTTGGGAGGCATAACCTAACGGTTTCAAAATATCATAAAGGATTTTTTTTCATATAAAAATCAATTATACTCTAACTAAATTATTCCTGTTAAATTACTGTGGGTAGTGGCTTATGGGGTTGGGAATAAAATTCATCCTGTTGAAACATTTTAACCATTAATATTTTATTCAATAAAAAAAATAATAATGAAGAGGTGACATATCATTCCCTAAATATTAGCAATAAACATAATGATTTAAATAAGCAATATTCTCAAATAATTTAATTCATATCTTAAGTTAACTCCATTCCATCTCCTTTCCTACTAATTATAAATCAATAATTATTTTAATAAACAAAATAAAAATATACATGGGACAGTATCAAGACCCTCACACCCAGTCTATCAGTCAGTGTCAGTAATGATTTTTTTCTAGACAGAAGCCAATCATTTTCCCTTCCCTGTTTACAATTTCCCTCTCTTACACCACTCTAATACCTAGTTTAATTCTCTATCTATTCATTGATACCACCGGAACTGTCACCTACGACTAATTCCATTGTTGTATCGATGGGCCATTAAAATAACTGAATAAATAACAAATATTCTCTATCAACAAAGCATTATGGCCTGTTCTTGCAGCATTTTCTCAATCACTTTTCTCTCTCTCTACGTGAGGAAGACAAGAACTCGTCTCATTTATCAAAAATCAAAACAAAGGCATTTAACATTTACGTTAATGCACTTACTAAGCATTATAGCCTATGATATCTAGGTAAATCACGACTTTAAATACCAGCATTTAACATACCTCTGTACGGGAGGAAGGAACGCACGCGACTGACGAGAAATCGTTAAATTAACGAACTTTTTGCTTTCGTCAAAATGAATTGTTAACATTTAAACAAACAAACTATTTTTGAATTATTATTGTAATTTACTCTATTTGTTTTAACACTAAATTTTGCTATATTGATATGCCTTTAGAAATATAAAAATATATAAACAAATGTTTCAGTGAAGCTTATACATCTTTGAATTTAGAACCAATTTTTTAAAAAGGCGAAAAAAAATTCTTCTCTCTCTCTCTCTCTCTCTCTCTCTCTCTCTCTCTCTATCTATATATATATATATATATATATATATATATATATATATATATATATATATATATATATATATTAATTATATAATCATATTATATATATAATATATTTTATATATATATATATATATATATATATATATATATATATATAGAGAGAGAGAGAGAGAGAGAGAGAGAGAGAGAGAGAGAGAGAGAGAGAGAGAGAGAGAGAGAGAGAGAGAGAGAGATGCATATACATATATATGCATATACATATACATCTATATATATATATAAGCATATACATATATATGTATCTATATGTGCGTGTGTG